AATGAGGGAAATAACACGGTTGAATCATGAATATTCAGACGCAAGTGAATCATGCACCACCGTCCACGTTCCTCAGGTTTTCAGCGACTTGAGTAAAAATCGTACATTTTGTGAGTGTGAAAATAGTTCAGGCAACTCTCTGGACGACTTGGTTCACCTCGGATTGGATATTAACAAGGCTTCCCAGTTAGTGCCATCTATATTACCTTCTAAGCAACCACCCAACAAACTGGTTATCAAAATTCACCCAAGACGTCACACACACAGGACGTTAACTGATTACCCAGGGAGTCACCCACTAGGACACACTGACAGCCTAAACACCTCAACCAGCAGCCTTAAAACGTGCCAAAGACAGTATAGCCAGCAAAGACAGTATAGCCAGCAAAGACAGTATAGCCAGCAAAGGCAGTATAGCCAGCAAAGACAGTATAGCCAGCAAAGACAGTATAGCCAGCAAAGACAGTATAGCCAGCAAAGACAGTATAGCCAGCAAAGACAGTATAGCCAGCAAAGACAGTATAGCCAGCAAAGACAGTATAGCCAGCAAAGATAGTATAGCCAGCTTTAATAGACCCCGAAAGAGACGAAGATACAGTTTTCTTGTTCCTTGGGTTGTGTCATCTTTTCGGGGTCAGCGAATCTCGGGTCTTGGGGTGATACAATAACGCCCTTAAGCCGTTGATTGACCTGGGCTCACTAAAGACACCAGAGCAACACGGCTAGGAAGAAACACCTGTCGTTGGATGATTGATTGACGACCTTCACCTATGGAGTTTAAGGAGGTGTCTGGGTAATCTGAAGATGTTTCCTGGGAGTTTTTCTATTCACATAAAAAACCAGATGAAAATTGACGAAGGAAATACTTTAATTTAAATTTCCCCTAAACAATGTACAGTCGCGGACAAAAGTTCTCTTCCCGTGATGAAACTGAGTCATGGGGATGAGTCTTCGAACTTACTTACCCTGGCTGCGGTGGTGCTGGTTCATCTCATTTGGGGTCGACACGGCTTCATTTTGGGAGGGAACGAACTTTTGACCACCGAGGCTATCAAATATAACTAATCTTTGGTGGAAATTGTTATAATTCACATACAACAGAGTGAGACAAAAGTATCATCAATCACTCGCCATCTGTTGCTCTGCCTGTCACCTTAACTCCTGCCCTCCCAGCCTCACTCGTGACGTCTCGCCCGGCTGACCAAGTGTGGGTCACGGTATCCCCCCCCCTCCCCCCACGACACCCCGACCACCAGGTAATATTTTCACGTTCCTCAACAAAACCTCCAAGATGCCTCCAATTTCAATATTTCCTTTTAATTTTCTAATAAAAGTTATACAAATATTTTTCGTTTTTTTCTGGTAGTGATTTTTTTTTACCAAGTGTAGATACAGATCCGAGTACAGGTGTAGGTACAGAGATGATGACCTTACATAATTGCAACAACATCCATCACGACCTGTCAGCATGGCCCAGGTCAACGTAGGTCAGGTCAGGTCAGGTCACTTGTATATATTACTTGAGCTATTCCTGTTATTCTTATTTTGTGTTATTGAGAATTTTTTTTTGAATAATTTTGTGTTTAATAGATGACTATGCGTAATTAATTAGTGACTCTCTCTCTCTCTCTCTCCCTTTCTACGTATTTTCACATTCTCTATCTCCCTACCTAATCTGTCTTTCATCTTGTCACTTCATCTATCTCTACTTTCTTATTCAATCTTTCGTTCTCTCTATTTCATTTTATTTATTTTTCCTTTATTCTCTATCTTTAATCTTCACACTTTATCTCTCTCTCTCTCTCTCTCTCTCTCTCTCTCTCTCACGCCATCGTAGACCACAAGTCATCATCTCACGGCTTCAAAAGGTTCATCGCCACATTCTTGAGGATTCAATGAACTTTGGATCTGAATTCATGAAGCTTCGCACACTTTGACATTTTCCTTCGTCTCGTTACGTGTAGAGTCTCAGTGCCATATTGACGCCATTTTGTGTCGTAGTTTAAGCAAGGGTAAAAAAAAAAATGGCAGCCTGAATGTCGTCAAAATTGCCCCAAGACTGTATCGTGATCAGGAGGGTTCGTTTATATGTGAATCCCCGAAGCCTGAGAGTCGACCCCTGGTGGAGTTCATGTATCGAACGTATCTTCCGAACCCGTTACAAAGCTTCATTAGTCTTTTATTTTGAAGCTTCCCATTTAGTAAGAAGAATTTTCCAAAGCATAGAGATATCCTAAGACACCCGCTATCCCCGGTAAGATAAGGAGAGAAATTCAATTGTATATAGGACGCGGCTGAGCACCAAGTCCAACTGAATTTGCATGATTTCCCGCCCACTGACTCAAAACACTCAGCAACATTACATTAAATCCCCCCCCCTCTTCCTAGAATCATGGTAATTAAACCCTATATGAGCTCAACAGTACTAAATTAACATTACCATTTAATAAATAAACATAACTACCATCAACATTTGGTGAGTTTGTGGTGAAGAGAGAGAAAACGACGATTTAAGTGAGATATCAACAAATCACAATGTTGGAAGAGTACCCCGACCACCCCCACCACTACCACCACCCAACTCTTAAAATTGAAGGGAAAGTTATGAAAGTTGACTGATGTTTTTTCCCCTGTCTTTAATTCACACACAGACGAGTTCACTTAGGCTGAAGGATGGCCTCTATAACGCTTGTAGATCCACCAGTACTTTCTACAGGTAATACAAGATGAAGCTACAAGTACAGAAACACATACAAGTACATAAAAGACAGGTTACAAATACAGTACACCTAACTAGTACAAATATTTAAAAACGACACCTGTACACAATCAATACACAGGCTGTAGGTGTATTATTACGTTATATTATCTTGTACATAATAGAAAGTAAAGGGGAAAGTCGTAAGGAACAAGAGAAAGGTGATTATACAGTAGAGAGAGAGAGAGAGAGAGAGAGAGAGAGAGAGAGGAAGGTGTTCTGACCAAGGTGTTCCCACGGTAGCCAGCCAAGCATGTGCTGCGGTCATCACACTCTCTCTCTCTCTATCTATCTCAAATTTCTCTGTATCTCACTATCTCTCTCTCTTTCTTTTAATTTTTGTATCTCTCATTATTTTTTTCATTTCTCTAATTCTCATTCTCTCTCTTTCTATCGTATTTTCTTAATGTCTCCTTTTCTTTGTCTATCTCACTCCTCCCTCTCCGCATTGTCTCTCACTCCGTCTCACTCACCCGTGTTTTCTCTCTCTCTCTCTCTCTCCACTAATAACGTCATTATCCATCATCATTATTCTCATCTTTCCTCTCAACTTCCTCATACCGACAGACACAAGTCCACACTGCATAAAAAAAGAAGAAGGATAATCTTCCTTATAATCGCTAATATTTTCACTAAGTTCGTATCTAAAGATCAAAATATTCGCTAAAATAATTTAAACAGTAGTAGAAAACGTTTACATGAGGCAAACAGTAGTAGAAAACGTTTATATGAGGCAAACAGTAGTAGAAAACGTTTATATGAGGCAAACAGTAGTAGAAAACGTTTACATGAGGCAAACAGTATTAGAAAACGTTTATATGAGGCAAACAGTAGTAGAAAACGTTTATAAGACAAACAGTAGTAGAAAACGTTTACATGAGGCAAACAGTAGTAGAAAACGTTTATATGAAGCAAACATAGTAGAAAACGTGTATATGAGGCAAACAGTAGTAGAAAACGTTTATATGAGGCAAACAGTAGTAGAAAACGTTTACATGGGGCAAACAGTAGTAGAAAACGTTTATGAGACAAACAGTAGTAGAAAACGTTTACATGAGGCAAACAGTAATAGAAAACGTTTACATGAGGCAAACAGTAGTAGAAAGCATTCATATGAGGCAAACAGTCCTAGAAAACGTTTATATGAGGCAAACAGTCGTAGAAAACGTTTACATGAGACAAACAGTAATAGAAAACGTTTATATGAGGCAAACAGTAATAGAAAACGTTTACATAGAGGCAAACAGTAGAAAACGTTTACATGGGGCAAACAGTAATATAAAACGTTTATATGGGCAAACAGTAATAGAAAACGTTTACATAAGGCAATAAACAGTTTAGAAAACGTTTATATAGGGGCAAACAGTAATGAAAACGTTTATATGGGGCAAACAGTAGTAGAAAACGTTTATATGGGGCAAACAGTAGTAGAAAACGTTTATATAGGGCAAACAGTAGTGAGAAAACGTTTATGAGACAAACAGTAGTAAACGTTTATGAGACAGTAGTAGAAAACGTTTATGAGGCAACGTAATAGAAAACGTTTATATGAGGCAGAAGTCATAGAAAACGTTTTACATGGGCAAAACAGTAAATGAAAACGTTTATATAAGGACAAACAGTAATAGAAAACGTTTATATAGAAACAGTAGTAGAAAACGTTTATATGAGGCAAACAGTAATAGAAAACGTTTATGAGACAAAAAGTAGTAGAAAACGTTTATATGAGGCAAACCGTAATAGAAAACGTTTATATGAGGCAAGCAGTCATAGAAAACGTTTACATGAGGCAAACAGTAAAAGAAAACGTTTATATGAGACAAACAGTAATAGAAAACGTTTATATGAGGCAAACAGTAGTAGAAAACGTTTATATGAGGCAAACAGTAATAGAAAACGTTTATGAGGCAAACAGTAGTAGAAAACGTTTATATGGGGCAAACAGTAGTAGAAAACGTTTATATGAGGCAAACCGTAATAGAAAACGTTTATATGAGGCAAGCAGTCGTAGAAAACGTTTACATGAGGCAAACAGTAGTAGAAAACGTATTTGAGGCAAACAGTGGTAGTAAACGTTTATGAGACAAACAGTAGTTTAAAACGTTTATATCAGGCAAACAGTAGAAGAAAACGTTTACATGAGGCAAACAGTAATAGAAAACGTTTATGAGACAAACAGTAGTACAAAACGTTCATATAAACAATAGAAGTGGGAAGAAAAACATGCGGTTGACTGACTGACCTGCGTGTTGACTGGGTGATGTAGACGATGCACTGGACGGTGGTCAGGTGTCACTCCCCAGTCACAACACGCCTCTGAGTGCACTGTCTCCCTATACACACTGGCCATAGCGTTAACTCTGCCCCACCAGCTGTCCCTAAACCGTGTATTATTTTCTCCTAAACAACTCAATAATCATCTCAAAGGTCACAGGCGTCCAGTAATATCACTTCTCATGTCTTTTAAGTTAGATGGTAGTTATGTTTAAAGATCTTCATTATAGTGTAAAAGGATAATTTAACTATGGGAATATTTTCTACACTCGTGGGGAGGTTTACAGGCGGCTGACGCACCACACCCACCCTTCACCGACCGCAGTCACCGGCCGACTGACGAACGCGCTGGGTGGGGACCCTCACTCCTGGCCCTGGGGAAGAGAAAGACGGTATCCGATTGGTTAGTAGCTCATGGGGGGGATGTATACTCAGCCTATGATTGGTCGATGTCATGGATGGTTGGTAATAATGCTCAGGTTGTTTGAGATGACGTAAGTTAAGATTGTGTTACTGATAAATTTGGCTCAATACTTAAAGCTTATTGTTCAAATGACAACTTATGTACCTAACTGAGATGAACCAAAGATTAACACATCATGTAATTACGACCATAAGAAAATTATTTATAAAATAATAAAACACAACAGAGATTTATATTTCCTGAGTTCATATTTATACTGATGGTTATAATACACTACATATATACTTTCATGGTAAACTATGTGTATTGTTGTATATTACTCACTTCACTCTCTCTCTCTCTCTCTCTCTCTCTCTCTCTCTCTCTCTCTCTCTCTCTCTCTCTCATATTGCTGTCACAGTTCTTTCCATCTGTCTGTCATCCACTTGTCACATTGCATGACAAATATGATCATCAGTGTTACCAAACCTACGCATAATCTGTTTTTTTTGGGGGGGATGGGGGGGTAATGCCTCGTCATATCATCATTTGCCAGACCAGGGAAGTGTAACACCACAGTCACGATAAATCAGGGTTGTGGAACGTGTGAATTGTACTCGGTGAAGCCAATGTGATGTTTACTGAGTTCTGGTTACCACTGAATGTATCTTACTCGTCAGGACTAGATAACCTTGAATGTGAGTATAAAATGTGAGATCTCTATACCACTGAATGTTTATAGTCGTATTTTCTCGATGTCATGAGTTGGTATTAGTATTTTTTGGATATCAATGAATGTACACAAGTATGTTTTTAATACCATTGAATTTATACAGTCATAAGTTCTGGTTACCATTGAATTTATACAGTCATAGGTTCTGGCTACCATTGAATTTATAGAGTCATAGGTTCTGGCTACCACTGAAATTTATAGCCATGAGTTCAGGAGAGCGTTAAATATTTAGTCATCAGTTCTACGTACAGCAGCGACCATTATATATCACCGTTCTCAGTTTAGCGGTGGATATTTTGGTCTCCAGTTAAGTAGTTCCTATTTTCACAACACACACCCACATCCACCCACACACACACACGCGCACACAGAGGAGATTAAAAACACGTCTTCCCAGCGTCGTCCACTCACTGTCTTGGTCACCTCAATACGAACCTGACCACATAAGCTATCCTACTTGAATCATGTACAGAACACCCACCTCTCTACCTCACCATGCACCGGAACAAGTAGTCACGACTGTGTGTGTGTGTGTGGTGTACATCCATGTGCGTTCTCAGTGACGGTCGGGAGAAACATGATCTTCTTGACCAGTTTCCTGTTGATCGTGAGCAAGACATGTGTGACACAATCAAGCATTTCCTGTTTGGCCGGGAGTTTGATGCAGAGGAACACACACACATACACACACACACACACACACATACACACACACATACACACACACACACACCTTCTAGCTACCAAAACAAGTAATTCTTCTTCTTCTCTCTCTTTTCTTATCTTCTCCTTTCTTGTTTTATCTATATTTATATTCAACTTCTCTCTCTCTCTCTCTCTCTCTCTCTCTCTCTCTCTCTCTCTCTCTCTCTCTCTAAGATTTAAGAGACATTGTATCTCTAAGTTGACGTAATATATATATATATCTCAATACTGACGTAACACCTCATATATAGTCAACAGTGCCTCATTGTTTGCAGGTGAGAATAACCAAGTCTTATCACGTAACACTAAACAATGTGGCACTCATTGTTTGTTTTGGGTGACGTCATACATCCGTTTGTTATTGTTGTTGTTTGTATCAGCTGTGAGTCATCGTTTCCCGCCATATTTTCCCGCCAGTTTTGTGATAAGTGCCGTTTAATTACTGGTGGTGATGTGTCTTTGAATGGTAAACAACATAAGAAAAAAAAGGTAAATATTATCTTATTTTTTTTTAAGAGAATGAACGTAAGGAGTCACTTTAGATAATCACCATAATTAGACATTCTTTGCGACTCATTATCCCTACAGTAAAGACACGTGAGGAGTGTTTAGGAATTTCAACACCTCTTCACAAATTAAAGTGGCATCTAGGTCACCGTTATCAGGTCAAGGGTTATCGAGTAATGTTCAAGGAATAAGTGGATTACGTGAGGAGGGTGACCTTACATGGAATAACTATCACAGAGACTTGGTGGTTAGGTTAGGTTAGGTCAGGTCCCGGATGAAGGGTTAGGTTAGGTCCCGGATGAAGGGTTAAAGGATAGTGATGATAAACCCTTTGAGGTAAACCAAAACACTAATTAACGGGGATAAGTGTTACCGGTTAGGAAGTGTGTGGTTTATAAGTGTCGTGGACTGTACATGGAGGAGAATAAATAACTAAAATGGCATCAAATCATCAAATCACACAACCTTAAAAAAATAAAACAGGACACATAATACGCCCGCCACATTTGGTCCTACACCCGCCACCCTTGGTCCTATGCCCGCCACCCTTGGTCCTATGCCCGCCACCCTTGTTCCTACACCCGCCACCCTTGGTCCTATGCCCGCCACCCTTGGTCCTATGCCCGCCACCCTTGGTCCTACACCCGCCAGCTGAGGTTAATGGCAGATCAATGTGCGTGAATTATTCCTTCAGCGTCGCCCACCGGAGGGTTTTATTACTTCTTTATGCCTCCTCCCGCAGATGATGGCGACTTAGTGCTGAAGCTGCGGGTACTGGTGGTGGTATTTAACAAGGTGGGGAGGAAAGTCATAAAGATAAATACATAAATAAAGTAAAATAAACCATAAATAATAAAAAATAATGACATTTAATTTTGTGTCACGAGGGATTTAGTGAATAAAACAATTTAATGAGAAGTAGCGAAAAAAACTGTTAGTTAAACACGAAACAGTTTGGAAATGAGCAGCCAGTTTCTTACGTCCTAAGTCCAGCTTAAGCCCATGTGAGCTTGTGTTGGACAAAGCTTAAACTCAATTAGCCGTCAGTAAGGCTTAGTTGTGTGTTAGACCTTTTGAGAACGATGGTTTAACCACCCTAAGCACTGTGTCAACAAGGGAGTAGGTCTTCCTACTAAAAGGATTAAGTTGTCGTACTCAAGGGGTTAAGTTGTCGTACTCAAGGGGTTAAGTCATCGTACTCAAGGGGTCAAGTTGTCGTACTCAAGGGGTTAAGTCATCGTACTCAAGGGGTTAAGTTGTCGTACTCAAGGGGTTAAGTTGTCGTACTCAAGGGGTTAAGTTGTCGTACTCAAGGGGTCAAGTTGTCGTACTCAAGGGGTTAAGTTGTCGTACTTAAGAAGGTCGATATATCTAAAAACACTGTGTTTATTCAGTGTACTCAAAAAGATGGCAACGATACTCAACCGAGACTTACATTAACCAGCTATACGCAAGGGGGGGGGGGACTACCTTATGGATGTTGAGGAGAAACTAAAGTATTATTTCCCGATGCCAAAGATTCTTAATGGAACTTACGGTAACTTTCTTCCCTGCCAAGATCTCTAACGTTACCATGGGGATATAATAGAGAGAACACAATAACAGGGCTAAACGAAGAGAAAGAGAGAGAGATACTAGTAAGAAAGATAGAGATGGAGACAGAAGAGAAAAGAGAAATATAGATGAAGATAAAGAACGTGAAAGAAAAAGAAGGAAAGAAAGAGAGGGTTAAGAGAGAAAGAAAGAAAGAAAGAAAGGAAGAGAAGGATAAAAAGAAGGAAAGGAAGAGAAGGATAAGAGAGAAAGAAAGAAAGATAAATGAAAGAAAGAAAGAAAGGAAGAGAAGGATAAAAAGAAGGAAAGAAAGAGAAGGATAAGAGAGAAAGATAAAAAAGAAAGGAAGAGAAGGATAAAAAGAAGGAAAGAAAGAGAAGGATAAGAAAGAAAGATAAAAAAGAATGAAAAAAGAAAGATAGAGAGAAGGAAAGACATTATACCCCAACAACACAGGTACACAGAGGCCTCTTGTTTCTTCTACCGTGTACACCTGACCTCATTAAGTAGGTCACGATACCACTCTTAAATAGGTTCAAACAGGTATGGACTCAAGCAGGTATGGACTCAAACAAGTAGGGATTCAAGCAGGTATTGACTCAAGCAGGTATGGACTCAAGCAGGTATGGACTCAGCAGGTATGGACTCAAGTATTCACATTTGGGTTAAGTCATTTAATAATACTCCAGCTAAATGAGAAATTATTTTACCTGTTCTATGGTGCTAATTAAGGCCAGGTGTGAGGTACAGTACTACAGGAAAAAGATACAGTCATCATTTAGTAATTACTGTACCTGTACTTTATATAATACACCTGAAGGTTAGCCACTTAGTTTACCTGTGTTTCACCTGGAGTTTAACCACCCGAATGCTAACCTAACATAACCTAACCTAACATAATATAACCTAACCTAATCCTTCAGGTTGTGTTGGTGTTTAATCTTAAGGCGAAATAAGCTGGGGGGGGGTAATCTTCAGGTGATCTATTCATACATAGAGTGAGTCTGTGTACTGATATCAATGTTGCTTAACACTCATGCCCTGTGTGTGTGTGTGTATGTGTGGATGCCAGGGCGGTGGTGTCATCAAGGAGGAGGTGGTGGTGTTCCTCCATCTCTCCCTCACCCCACCCACACCAGAGCCTCTCACTTCCCCTTACCGTCTCTCTCTCTCTCTCTCCCCCCCCCCCCCAGCTAATCCTCCCCACCCACCTCCATTTCCTCCATCACCCATCCGCCCAATAATTTCCTCCCTCCTCCCCACCCGCCTACGCCCACACTTTATTCCCCGACTATCCCACCTACACCCACCTGGCTAGTATCGACCCTCTCAAACACACACATCCACATTGCAGCTTGTTCCTAACCTTCCTCCTCCACCTATTCCACCCTACATTGGTTCATCCCCTCCTTCCCTCACTGCCTCCTTCCCTCACTGCCTCCTTCCCTCACTCACCTCCCTCACTGCCTCCT